GTGTCGTCATCGTCGTCGTCGTGGGCATCGTCGTCATAAAATAAATAAAAATATATCAGTATAATATTGTATTATTGGTTCAATATTATTATTATATATATATATTTTGATTTGTTTAAATTATAAATTATATATAATATTTTATATGTTATATATTATATATTATAAATTATATATTATATATTATATATTATATATAATATATTATATATTATATATATACACATATGTATATATATATATATACAAATTATGTAGGTTGCATCATGTCCGGCCTTTTACTTCCATCCATCGGAGCTGCCAGCGTCCATGCCAAGCACCTCCGTCGATCTCAGGTGATTTGTGCCACAACTGATTCTCGCTTCAACACGACGACCTCAAGCGAACATTATTGTCTGATGGGGGTGTGCAGGATGATGACGAATGCTCTGGTTCAGAAATAAAAAACGACAAACAAACACAGCAACATTCGCTTGAAAAAGCCTCACGAGTCTCCGGTGTTTCGCTCAGAGCGATTGCGTTTCTGGTGCTTTCTGGGCGAGGTCGGGCGTCATGAATGCTCATATCACAAGCCAACATCAGCCAGGACACTGGATTGCTTCAGCAGGGGCCCGGAAATTCGATGAGCTGTGTGGTTTAGCTGGTAGAACGACATGGTGCTTCCTCGGGGCGTGTCCTCATCACTTTGAGCATCTGGCTGCTCCTGGCGATAGAAGAAGTCAGAAAAAGACGGACAGGGGCCGTACAACAACCCAACATGCTTCATTTGAGGTGTACACAGTCCTGTGCTGGCGTGATTGGGCTGTCTGCGGCAGTGGACGTGCAGCTTATTTCCTCAATCGCGAGAGAATGCTAGGACCGCCAGCGCACCGAATCGCAGTACACAAGTAACAGTCCATCTGCAAGGCATAGCGGCAGTTTCTTTGGTAGCGCTGTCTGGCTCCTGAATCGACTTGCACGGACGTTCTTTCGCCGGAGTGCTTGCTCGGGAAGCCTGCTCGGCCTGTAGCATCCACGGACCGCGGTTGCGAAAATCAGCATGGTTGAGCTTAGGAGGCCAACTCTCGCCTGCCTCTGCTCTAAGATAGCCGCCGCTAGGAGCAGCGACTTGATCTGGTAGCAAGGACGCCTCTATGAAACAAAACGGAACATCAAGGATACTGCACACCCCGGTGTGATGGCTGGTGGAGTCTCGCGGCAACACACTCTGCGACTCTGTGCCTGAGTGGTCTTCACCGTGCGCCTACGACTTAACCAAGTTGGATCCTTAAAGAGAAGAGCAGTTCGAGCCCGTCGCTTGACTGTAAGCACCAGAGCACATCACTCTCTTGCTGCTTGCTGGGCGGCTGGGGCGAAAAGGGCCCAGTTGAGCGGCCCACCAACTTTGTGAACCAGCGAAACTACTTCCGACAAAGGTCGCGCAGCCCATTCCGAGACAAGATCTGCAGGCAGGCCAGTACCTGGTCGAAGTGCTCTCCAATTCTGCGGTGTCGGCATGATTTTGCCATGGATGGAACGGAGCAAATGAGCGCCGAGACCCAGCCCGGTGCTCCGGCGCCGGAGCGTCTGAAGCTCGGCAGCCCGCCCGAGCTTTTCCTCCTGCAGTGCCTTGGAACCAAAAGTCATGTGACCGCCAGTACCGGCGTTGCAATACAGAGGCGTCCATGTGCTTGCCGCAGGGCTTTTTGAAACGCTTCGACAGAAAAGACCTGAGAGCACAGTTGGGACGATCGGCACTGAGACTTCCGCAAGAAGCTGCCACCAAGCACTCCGCATACTGCGAGGCTGCAGTAGAGTGACTGAGGGGGAGCCAGCATCCCGTCCAAGAATGTCGTCATCGACGGTGGTAGCACGCCGCACCTTTCACGTCGCACAGCTCAATGTACCCCCGCTGCAGGTACAGATTCCGACATGAACCCAAGATTCGACGGCCGAGTTCTAGTCTCTTCGTGACAAGTACCAAGCGCCCAAGTGCTGAATGCTTCGACATGGCACCCTTTCCACAACGCTGTCCAGCGTGAGGTCTGCAAGGTGCTGAATCTCCATCGTGACCGAAGCACTTGCGAACTGTCCAAAGACCTGCCGAAGTTGCGAGAAGCATACCAGTCGTCCTGCTGCCCTAGCCCTAGCCCTAGCACTGACCGATGCAGCCTCCTCCATCTTCGGTCTCTCGGCCGACAGTCTCCCACGTGCTACCACTGGTGCCTTCGCCTCTGTGCTGAAAATAGGTGACTCTCATCGGATCTGCCTATGCTTTAACTCGCCATATAGGACATTGCAACTTGTCGGTCTTGTGCGTGCTCGCAATTGGGTCCCTCCCTCTGATCTTCTGCCTTCCTTTCCTCTGGCCCGCATCGCTCACAGCCCAGGCCCAAGCAGCCAATCATGGCCAAATCAAAGCACGTCTTCTCCCTCTATACCTATCTGCTTTTCTGGTTCCGTCCTTCCCTTGCTTCGTAGGTTACACAGCAGTAGCTGGATCATTGTCCTTCCATTGCTGCCCGCTTCCGCCGAGGGACACCAACCGCATGTATGAAGACGTACTTCGTCCGTCGCAGGCGCCCCTCGCCGAATCCCAAGCGCAGCAAGCCGAAAAGTACGTCAGTCGGATGCGATTCATAGCCTTACAGTGGTATTCGAGCACGGGGCTCGGCCCAAGTCAATTTGCGAAAGAGCGTGCGATGAAGGCTACAGATTTCTCACTTGTCCTGTTTTAGGCCGCGGCAGGATTTCATCTCCTCCAGGCTCCCGATTCCACCACCCACAACTTTCAGGTTGACAGGATCAGCCTGGAAGAAGACCCAGTTCCACGCCTCGAGAGATGCAGGCGGCTCTGATACTTGCGATGCCTTGCAGTGACGAGGACTGCGCTCCAAGACCCCCGCGCCCATGGGCTCACCCACTGCTTTCAAGGCATCGCGGCCGTTGTACAAGCTGGAGGCTGATGCTTGATAGGCACCTCTCCTGGAATTGAGCAGGCTGCGATAGCTGGCGAGTTGTCGTACAGTAGAGCAGAAGACGGACAGCTAGATTTCAGTAGCAAGGCTCTCCACAACATCGCTGCCGGACTTCCGCCCTGCATCGGTGGTACTTCTTGGCTCTGAGGAAGTCGCTGCAATTCCTGCAGCTTTGGCGGAAGACAGCTGCTGTTCCTTGGAAGTTCGGTGATGGAATGCTTCGACGTCACGGCATCTCCGACGGAAGCAATACGGGTACCTAGATTGACGATGCCAAATAGGCACGAGCACTAGAGCTATGAAGGGAGTAGCTCTAGAGAGGCCAGAAGGACACAAACCCGCACCCCAACCATAAACTTTCGGAAGATGATGTTTGATTGGCTAAACTTCCAATACGATTCCGGTAGTGTGTCGGATGGGCATGCGATGAGCTCATCTGCCTTATGTGTCAGCCAGTGTGTTGTTTGTCCATGGAGTAGAATCTGAGCACGCAGCAACAACAAACCAAAGCACACATCTACACTTGTACGCGGATGTGAACAAGAAGTTGGACAGCATGAAGACCAGTATTTCTGAGCCAAAGATTGATTGAGAGTACGACGAGAGCGCGCGCTAACAGCGCATAAAGAAAGAGAGTACGGAGTTCCTTTCGGAGACAGTACAACAGTACAACTAATGTCTGAGAATGTGCACAACCTGCACTAGAAAGGCATTAGAAGGAGCCCGGCCCTCGGCGCTTCCAAGATGCATATTGGGAGTGCAGCCACTTGACTGTATAGCCGTCAGATCCGTCCACAGTGAAGAATGGAAGCACCCGCTCGAGCAAATTGGACAGGCTTACCTCCTGAGAAACCCTCGAGTGAAGACCGTCCATATCCATGCAAACCGTGAACTAGAAGCATAAACTGATGTCTCCTCTGCTGTTTTGACCTCCACTGTGGCGTGAAACGCCTCTCCCATCTCCAAGCCCTCCCGCATCAAGCGTTGCACCTCCCGGGGAGACAACATCCCTTACTGTCCTAGGACCAGAGAAGAATCGCTTGCATGACCTCTGGCATCACAAGTGCAACCCGTGCCTCAGGTGTAAGCTCGTTCGCACGGCCGCGGGCTATGGGCGAACATCTCTCTCCATTCACCTGGCTTCTCTCTGAGATTCTGTTTGCTCTGCCGCAGAAAATCACACAGAAAAGCAAAATATAATCTGCTTCTACAGTAAAAACACGCTGCTCGCAAGAATTAGCCAAGCAGCGTGAAGGAAAATCATGCGCTGACGAGCCAAAGGACCCTGACAGTAGATTCAGCAACCCACTAGAGGCAGTTTGCTCCAACTCTCGACTCTGAGCCTCCGAGCAGTACAAAAAACTGCCACAGCAGATAATTGGAGGCTGTTGTGAAGTGCATCAGGGCATGAGATCAGACAGTGCCTGGCCAACGCAGAACTCGAGCAGAGCCCATTGCACGGAAGAGTCATCCACCCTCGAGTGGTTTCGTTGTGCACACTGTGATTTCAGGAGCATGGTACACCAAGCTCCGACAAAGGGAAGCAGTATGACTATGCCACCTATACCCGCCCTGCACCAGCAGACTGATGGCAGACATGTGTCCACAGCTGCAGCTCTTCGACGCCACCATCTCCGGCGCCCAGTACCACAACCGGCACGTCCATGGATGCAACTATGCAGCAACTACGATTTGGATTTCTAGTCTGTGCAAAATATTACAGCCTAGGCTTCGGCATGTGTGATGGCTGCAGCAAGTTGAATGCGAGAGCATAGTCTTGGCACGAGATGGCATGTTTTCGTTTGCCCCTGGCTGTATGAAAAAGGCGACAGCCGACAATACAAGCACAGACCCTAGCAGATGCTGCTCTCCAATGGGCTGCCTTGGTATACGATCTCTGATGGGGAGGCCTCGCAGCTCAGAGCGCTGGTCAGCGCAGCATCCGGCTCTGGGGGCAAATGACCTGCTGCTGCAGAGACTGTAGCAAGTGCATGCAGTCTATTGCACCGTGCCACGATGCCTTATTGGTGGACAGCCCCAAAGCGATTTCACAGTGCTCAATGCCAGGGCTTGAGGCTAAAGGCCCTGGCCCAAGTCGCCCTGCTTCTCATGGTCACCGACCTCATGCTGAAGGCAGGGTCTATGTGCCAGCCCATTTCCACCCATCTCTTCTGCTCTGAGGCCTCCTTCTGAGTGCTTGTGACTTTTGCGCCCATGGGATGGAGCTGCTGGTGGATCCACAGGCTGCGTGGGTTGGGCTATGCATGGCTATGCCATGTACGTTTCTCGAGTTCGAAAGCTGCCTGTCGACTTTACACAAACTTCTTGTGTCCGTTGGCCAGAAATACTGGCAAGACCGGCCGTGCTCGAACCGGAAAGCCTCCAGCAAAGCTATGAGAACTTGCTCCCATGACTGGAAAACTCATGGCCCATGCCGCAAGAGCGATCTTTTGGTACAGAATGTGCTTCCAAGGAGTTGACTCCCTCAAAAGCTTCTGAATTCTGCTATCCTGCTGGTGCCGAACACGTCCGCGTCGAGCAAATGGTTGCATCTGAAAGGGTTGGAACATTTTCGACGCAGAGATGTTGGCAGGCAGCAGAAAACCTATAGGCCTATAGAGCTGCACCGAAATAGATTTGTTGGCATTTTGTCGCCAGATTGCTGAAGAAAGAAAGCCGTGAGCCGCCTTGAAACCACGTAGCTCCAAGTAGCAACCGTCGCAAACGATACGCCGCAAACGGTAAGGGACGGCCTCAGCTGCCTTTGACTTCTCATGTCATGCATTCTCGGGCCTGTTTGCTCGAGAGTAGATCTGTAGGAACTTTACAGGAGGAGCCTACCATCCCCTCGAAGCCAGTCATCCGGCATTGAACCCCCGAAACTGCAGTGAGCTGAAGCGCTGCTCGGAGAAAAGCCGACCTACCAGGACCTACCACAGCTGCCGCGCTGCGCCAAGCACTGCCTGCCCGGCCATATTCTGAGCAGCACATTCAGAAGCACGCTGCAAGGAGATATATGCGGACGACAGCTCATGCCCTCCGAGGGCTCAGTTCAACTGCCAGCAGTTGTAGGCGCCTTCATCCTGAAGGCAGCTACCATACAACATGCATCTTTGGCTCTCCGACCGGTTGTCTGTGTGTGTGCCACAATGATTCATACACGCACCTCCAGTTCATTAACAACTAGAAGTGCGTGTACTTGCATCTATATGCGAGCAAGTATATGTGCGAGTGTGTAATTATGTATGTATGCATGCTTGTATTTAATGTACTGTCTGTATATATATATATATATCTGTGTGTGTGTGTCGCATGCACGCGCGGCTGAGCTTTTGGCGGCTGTGACACGTGCTTGTGCGCTGCTGTCCTCCGTGTCCCCACCCCTACCTGCTTAACATACTCAAAGTCACCGTCGTGTCCGCAATGATGTCATCGGAATCTCCCATCTTTGGGGATACTTCCTGCCAGCACACACGTGAGGATTTCTTGCTTTGCACGTTGCGAACTGACGGTGAGATAAAGAAGGTTCGCCAACAGCAAACCCTGCTCGGAAGTCGCCTGTGCATGCATCTCCGGTTGTGTCGACAGGTGTTGTGCTGGCAGCGCGGAGATCTGTTGCCAAACGTCCTGCAGCTATCTCGCCAAGACATGCTTGTGACAAGTCCTTTATTCAGATGTCGTCTCTTTCGGGTCGGCAGCACCTTGAATCTCCGCAACTGGCCTTTGTTTTGCTTTGGAACGGAGCATGTCCTCGCGAGGAGGATCTGGTAGGCCCCAACCACCCGGAATTGCGGTGTTCGTCGGATCAGTATTCTTGGTCGTCAGAACCTCCCAAAAAGCAAGTCTGCAAAGGTAGCTCACTTAAACCGGTCCTGAAAAGTACAAGGTTTAGATCTCATTCTCTGGAAAACACCCGAAGCTTCGGCCTACGTGCCTCGCAAATCCCGCCACGCTTCAGCTGTGCTCCCATGACACCCTCTGTCAACGCCAGTGTGCGGAGAAGCTGCTGACAGCCGGTGTCCTTGAAAGATTCACTCACTCATCACAAAAGCTTTAGGGCACCTTCCTTCGCGAGTGTGATATGCCGCGGTAGAACATTCCAGCTCAGGGCGTTATCTACGATAATATTGAATATCCCGTCGGCCGAAAGGCTCCATCATGCTGGGAGATGAAAATCATGGACAACGCCGCTACAAGTAGGTTCTCCTGGTGGCATAGTGGTGGGGTACGTTGTTGCTTTGGCACGCTGGTGTGCACGGGCCGTGGGAGCGGTGCAGGCGCTGAGGTGCTTTCTTCGACTGCTTTCTCCCGCTATGGTCATCTTTGGTGGTGAATTACGAGGGCATGTCTTCATCAAGGCGAAGGCTCTGATCGAAGCTTGGTGGGGAAGCTCACGAAACCATGACCATCTTTGTCCAAACATCGGCCGTGCCCCATGAATACAGGAACACCTCTTGCATTCACCTTGGCAGGAAAGCGGCCCCAAACATGGAGCTGACACCCAGCATCTGCCAGCCAAGCTAAATTCATCCCCCCTGCCCCTGCATGTCCCCAAAGCCTTGTGCTCGACAACAGCAGCTGCACCGACAGAGCCGGCAGCAGCCAAGTTCTTTGTCATGCAAACGTCGAAAACACAGAACCTCGCTTCACACATGCAGCTGCTCACATTGAAACGTTGCTGTCCATCTCAAACACGCGGAGGCAAAACTGCATTCCATTTTCAACCCAGTGGCTTGTGAAAGGAGGCCTGCAATCCATGGCACGCAACCTGCGACAATCGCAGAAACAAGCGCAGCGCAGGCAGGTGTTTGTCCAGTTGTTTCCGATTGTCCTGTGAGGACATTTGCGTCGATGTTTGGCTGGATGACATGAACCTTTTGGCATTGGTTAAGTCTAGTTTGATGACACACGCTCCTCCCTCACTCTGTGGTACATCGAAGCTTCTGGTCGACAATAGACAGCAGTATGACATGTCATGTTGATGTCATTGCTGGTTTGCTCTAATTTCTTATGCTCACTAGGGTCGTCTATTTGAGCCGGTGTTACACTGGCACCAACCCAGCGGCGACCTCTGCGTGATGTGTAAGCTGTACTCGAGCAGCACTGTAGCGCGATGCTGAACGTTGCTCTCGGACAAGTGCTGAAAAGATCCGCGAGGACTAGCCGGACAAAGGCGGACCGCGCGAAAGGCATGAGCCAGTGAAGGTAGCAACTAATCTGAACACTGCACAAACGCGGCAGCCTCTGCCTTTCCCAGAAGAGTTTGAGGGCATTCGGTTACTCTCTTCAGCTTCGCGGCGATCGACTCCGCCTCTGATCGAAAGAAGGGATATAAAACGCACATCACCGAAGCATAGAATCCACCGTGGGTATAGCGACGGACACACTCCTGAAGACCGCAAAAGAACTGGCCTCGCTCATATGGGTGTGCTCCTTCGCCGAATCTCCCAGCAAAGCGGTAGTGAGCGTGCTGGGGAAAAGAACCATGTCCTGGCCAGCACGACATGCTTATCTGGTCCAGCCAGCATCGATAAAAACACGGTCGTGAAGCCAAAGCTCAGGACATGTAACTCGGCGTTCACACTCGTGAAGTCCTGCGGCACGGGATCCAAGTCGCGACCCACTGGTCGGTCCCACGAAGGCACGATGGGCACCGCATCGTCGTCGGGATTTCCGTTGAAATCTCCACAGTAGCCGCTCTGGCCTGCCTGCAGCTACTGGCTGTTCTATCACCTACTAGTATCACGGCTCATCTTGATGCCTGCATGTGGCGTTTGTTCGGGCTTCAAGTGCCGATCTCGGTCTGCCACATAGGCTCTCTAACTTTTTCGTTGCTTGTCTCGCTCCTCCGGCGGCATGGAGATGACCAAGGACATGAAATCGACGCCCGTCAAGGACACAGCGATGTTGTTGGGCAGCTTGAACCTGAGTGAAAGTGCAGACTAGGTTTCCTGAAGAAAAGAGTTCAGAGTTCGAACGACCGAGGACTTGACATATAGATGCCGGTTTCCGGTAAAGTCACAAATCGCTCTGGGAATGTGCCGATGGCGAACCTCGGCAAAAGATGCTTGTGTGCGGATGAGATCGACCTAGCACGGCAGAGAACCCGCGAACCACGATGACCACACTCGATCCGAATACCTAACTGCGCATAAGCAACTTCTGCATTTAATTGACATGCGCCCATGGAACCTCATATGAGTTCGCAGGCTGAGAATGCGATCATCGAAGACATCGGCATCCCAGGACTGGCGCCGATATGCATCCACTGCCGGAGACTCCACATGGAACTCACTGACAGCATCCTGATATGAATCGGGATTTTTAGGCTAGTGTTCGCGTGCTTTGCTCAGACTGCTCCAAGGCTTGGAGTGGGATCGCAGGGCACCAAGACAAGTAGGCCTTTAGCTACGCAGCCCATTGGTCCTGGAGGATCATCTCGCCATCCCATGCGACTTTCAGTGGCCCATCGTAAGCTTCCTTCCAAACCGTCAAGACGTGCCCATCCAGGAAGGGACCACCAGCTGCAAAGCCCATCAAGCAGCCCTGCGCAGCTCGCATGGCACGGGACGGACAAGTGCGATGAGTGTCGGCTCGCTCTGCTCATAACATATCTTTGCAGATGGCCTGACTTCCCTTGGAAAGTGCCTGGAGATATACGAATTT